ATTATGAGACTGAGAGCTCTGGCTGTTCTTAACCTCTTTTGCTTCATACCCAGTCAGAGTCCTTCCTTCATGGTGATTGTCTCGTCCATTTTAGAGTCTTTTGAAAGGAAACAGATCCTGTAAGGCAACCCTAAATATCTTTAAACCAACAAACAAATCAGCTTTTGTTTTAGTAAATCAAATTATGAAGGTTCTTTATATAATTCATCTTGAGACTCATTGAACAGAATTTTATTGAGCACCCACCACATTGTATTATCTTTGTCCTCTCTCCATAAAGGAAAAAGAAGGAAAATAATGTGTAATTGAGCCACAGAGGGTCCAGTAGCTTCAGAGGAAACTGCAGCTAGAGAAGCTTCCTGATGAATTTCTGTTTCTTCCTCATTTCTCTGCTTCCCTAATTCACCATTCAACAGCTCCTGTGATGGTTCACCTGTGCCTAAGTACAGCACACACATGCACACATACATATGTATGTCTGTCTGTCTGTCTGTCTGTATGTATGTATTTGTATGTACACATGCACCCAGTACCTGAAATTCATTCCTTTGGGATGTGTTGACCTCTCCAAAGAGTTTGTTTTTTAAATGTAGACACCCATATTTGTGTGCCTGTGTGCATGGACTTACACACAGGGATCATCAAACTTGAAATAAAGGTACAGATTGTTAAAATTTGTGGCTTTGTAGGCCATATGGTCTCTGAGCAACTGAACTCTGCTGTTGGAGCATGAAAGCAGCTGTAGACATAAAACTGAATGGGCATGCCTGCATTACAATAAAACTTTATTGTGGGCACTAGAATTTGAATGTCATGTAATTTTGGCATGTCCCAAATATCAGTCTTCTTTTGATATTTTTCAACCACTTAAGTATGTGAAAACCACTCTTAGCTAATAGGCTGTACTAAAGCAGGTGGTGGGCCCAATTCGATCCACAGTCCAGGGTTTGCCGACCCCTGGTGCAACATGTGCACTCACTAACCCAGGAAGTGTCCTTCCATTTGCCACAGTCTGAGCTATGGGAACAGCTCAGCTCTCTTGATGTGAGCACTGTTCTGAATAAAGAAAATAGTGGTATGAGGGGAGAGAACAATGCAGGGGGCAAGATGCCTGAGATCAAGGAATGTAAACTAATCCACAGTTTAGTCCAGTGTTTCTCAACCTTGACTGCATATTGGAATCACCCGGTTTGGGGCTGTGTGTGTGTGTGTGTGTGTGTGTGTGTGTGTGTTAAAACATGTTGATGCCTAGATCCCACGCCCAGAGAGTCTTATGTGATTAGTCTCAGGTGTGGGCTGAGCATGGGGATTTTTAAAAGCTCTCCCCATGTTTCTGATGTGCATCCAAGGGTGAGGGCCACCTGTCTCCCATCAGACTGTCGACAAAGACATAGCACTTTGGGATCACCAAAGACTGGAAGGTTGAGCTGTGTTCAACATTTTCCCCTTTACTTTCTCATTTTTAACAATTCTTTCCCATTTAACAGGCTCACCTCACTTTCTGACTACAACCTCCCTTGCCTTTCTTACATACATATTCATTTCAGATCTGAAATAACTAAAACAAGTTAGGAAAGCTCATAAACCACAGGAAGAAGATCACGCAGTCTCTGTGTCATGCTATGCACTAGCCTCATTGTCCCAAGGACTGTTAATGTCTCTCAGGGTAATGCTGCCTTTTGGCTAATCTTCCTTAGGGGAGTACTCATTTAATCATGCAGGCACAGGCTCAACATTGTCAGCCCACTCTGGGAAGGTTGGATGCTGGAAAATTCTTTGTAGGCTACAACTCCTGGGAGACGGTTATGTAAACCAGAAAGACAACTCATTAAAATATAGCCTCAGTCCTCTATCCTTGGGTCCTTTTCTAGAAATGGATGTATCTAGGAAGCCATTATCAAGGTTTTGGACCAGGATGAAATTAGAGATAACAAAAGGGAGGGCTTTTGAAGTATATTTCATAAGCTAAAGTAAATGAGACTCTTTCCTACTCTAGGAAATGTGTCTTTCAATTAACCCAGAATATCAAAGCTCCCCAGACAGTGTCACACCCCACACTTTAGGCCCTGTTAGAACAAGATAAATGTATCTCTTTCTTGCCAGTTTCCCCTTAAGCAAATTTTACCTTGAAGTTTTGTAAGCACTGATTTCTGATATTTCTAATTTAAATGTCAGTAACATATCTGTATCAAAAATAGCTTTCTTCATTGAACGTTAAACTTCTCTAATTTAGACTTGATGAAACATTTATCCTGTCCCTTTTTAAGTGGCGAAGATGCATATATTTTATGTCATATTTTCCACAACATCTAAAAGTTTCTGCCCAAATATTTATGACATTCTGCCTCATTAGAGCAAATCTTTTTTAATCTAATTACCTGAAATAGTCAACTGAGAGTAAAATAATTTTGAGAAGCCCAGAGTAAATGTGAGGAACAGATGTGAAAGCATATGTCATTTTTGAGATAATGCTTCTGGCAATAATAGTTTCCAGAAGCTGACTTAGAATCACAAGAATTTTTCTCCTTATTGTGGGATAGCCTCTTGAATATCATCACCACAATTAATCAACTTCTGCCAGAACTTGTGCATACATAGGTCTTTTGGTTCTAGTAAAGCTGATTTATGATAGGGACTTTTTCAAAACTGCCTGGGTCAGGGAGAACCTTCAACACAGACACAAACAGAAATATCCACGTGAGTCGCTTTGGATCATAAATTCTTGGCTCATTTCTGCAAAATTCACTCCTCGCCTTTCTCTTTTTTTAAAGATTTTACCTAAAACACTAGGGAGAGAGATTTTTCAGGTAATATTGTTCTGAGAGTAGAGAACCTCGAGTCATAACACAGCATTACTGGATAGGTCTCTAAGCCCCCTTCTAGATGAGACTTCTGAGATGAGCAAAATCACTTGGGAAGGTATGAATATGGTGCGCTTTTGTCAAATGTAGAAATGTAGTACCTGAGGTAAGAGGGCTCAGGAAAATTGCCAAGGAACTTAGAATTCATTTAATCTATTGGGTTGTTGGAAAAGTCATGACGTATTTTTTCTGTTTTTCGTTGCAAAAATGCATTGTGACGTTTCCAACAACCCAATATTTAATTACAAAATTTTATTCTCTTGTCAGAATCAAAAGCCACAGTCATAGCCTGTGCAGAGTCCATAGTAATATAATTTATTCACAGTGCCATCTCTAGAAAGAAGAAGCCAGAGACTGTTTCTGTGTAGTATCAGTAGAATGCCACCAGAGAATTTTCATAGTTCTCTTAATCAAATTCCAAAGAACTAACCCCCAGCTCTCTGATCCTTTGATTATATTCTTGATAGATCAATCTATCAACATAGAACCACCCTGATTATAACAATTTGATCTTGGCGACATGATGAGTAAGCAGTATGAGAAACTAGAATGAGTACAGGCTTTGGGTAGGCAGACAATTTTCAGTTTTTATCCTGACTTTGTCATGTACTCATTCTGTGACTGTGTGGAGGTGGTGGTGATGGTGGTGGTGGTGGTGTGTGTATGGAATAATTGTTTAACCTCTCCAAGATTAGGTGTCTTCATCTTTAAAATAGGAATGTTAGTACCTTTTTTTTTAACAGGGATCTTGGTGAATGGAAAGTGTCTAACATCTAGAAAAAACTCAGTAAATGCAGCTGCTGTTTGTGTAATTATTGAGGGTGGCGGCGGCTGGTAGTGTCAATTGATTTGATTTTGGTGGCTTCTCTGGTGCATAACCTTGAAAAAACTTACGAACTGTAGTTGACAGCTCCAATGGCTACTGCCAGTACTTCTGCCCCATTTATCTTCTGGTAATGACACATGCACAATCAGATGTTCTTTTTTAAAAATATCCTTTATTCCTTTAAGTGTTTCCTCTGATTGGCTCAACTGTAAGCCCTAATCACTATCATCAGTTTGCTTTAACAATAAGATACTTATTATAGGTACACTTATAACTTATTAAAATTGTACCTAAAAGAGTGAAATTCATAAGGGCTTATATTTTACCACTTAGCATATTCTTTCATCACTGAGGATAAAGAATAAAATAAGAACAAACAACTTCTCTGCAACTCTGATTTGTCAAAGCTTATATTTACTTATGAAGCTCTGTTTAATGAGAAAATGTGTGATCTCCTCAAGGGCAGGAATGGTTTTTTTCTCTAATCATTATTGAATGGAATTGAATCAGTTTTAGCAAACATAAAAGTGAGTCAATCCCATTTACCAAATGTCATTATTTTCATACCACATAAATGCACACCATGAGTCAGTCACTAAAACAATGCAGAAATAAAATAGAATTTTCAATCTTCGATTGACTATGTACTGAGTGCCTCCTTTATACCAAGACATTATGAAGGTGCTGGAGATATTGTGGTAAATATATAATGAACTCTGTCCCCAAGGAGCTCATAGTTGAAAGAGGCACCCAGGCCCACATATGTGGATTAGTTAGGGAGTCACACAAGACATTGTATAGTCAAGTGCTACATAGTTTGGCAAAGACTGTACGTCAATAGGAATTGAGTAGAGCAGAAGTTGACAAGGCCTGTGATTGACAGGAAAGGTCTAATGGGAGAGGCTGACTCCATCTGAGCCTTGAAGGATGGGGAAGATTTTCATGACCAGACAGCGGCAAATAGGGCATATCAGGTGGGGAGAACATGAGCAAAAGCTTTAGAGGTGGAAGCTGAGAGGATAGTGAGGAACCTGGACCTGGCTGGGAGAGTGCTGGCAAGCTGTGGGAAATATAGTTGGAAAGGTAGTGAAGCTCAGTGACAACCTGGAGTCAGACAAATGGGGTTGAACCTAGTGAGCCCCTGACGGCCTTTGAGAAGGAGAGTGACACGATACTTGATGACAAGCTTGTGTGGCTCTGGTGTAACTTCATGTGGTTCACGTCATTATCATTTTCTTTTAAGCTTTTCCCCGACTGCGTCTTTGATTGCTGCTCTGCTTCCATGTTAATTCGGAATATTCTTTCACATTTAGGGGAAGCACTGGTTCATCAGATCTTAATGACCAGGAAGGTGGTCCTGAGACTCCAAAGAGCAGCCAGAGCAACAATATGACCCCAATCACTCAGAGATCACCGGCCCCAAGCACAAGGAGCGTGGCTTCAGTCAGCAGTAGAGTAAGTACAAAGGTGTGAAGAGACACCCAGCTTCTGGGACTCGACCTCACCGCCAATGACATGACTGGGTTTCAACTCTCTTTGTCTCTGCGCATGTTGTTGAAACTGCTTAATGGTGGAAACCTTGTTATTCGGACCGAACCTATTGCATCCTTAGCTCCTGGCAGGAAACCTAAAGTGAGAAGGAAAAAGAAGGAGCAGGTTAAAGGTGGCATTTGTATGATGGAGATTTAAATGGCGATAGAAGTCTTTGATTTTCATCCTCCATGTTATTTCTCAAAATGTTGACTGCACTAAAATATTTCCAAACGGATTTAAATCAGGAAAAGTAGAATCTTGAAATATTTTTATAGTTTTATTTTCTATACATCGGTTAAGGGGTCAATACATAACGAAGACTTAAATTGCATAATATATAACACATATAATACAGAGGGTGCCAAAAACTGTATACACATTTTAAGAAAGGAATAAACTGTATTAAAATTGTAATAATATATACCGACAACAAAAAAAATGAATACAAGTCATGTATGTACATTTTTTTGGCACCCCTGGTATATAATATGGAAGCTGTTCTTTTGAATGAATGAGCACCTACAACATTTTTTTACAGATTTTATTGGGGAATTGGGGGAGGGGAACAGTGCTGGGGAATTGGGGGAAGGGGAACAGACAAGTTGCTATCGTTTTGTTCTTCAGTCTAATTGTGGAGGACGTTGCTTCACTGGCCCAAGTTGGCACCATCATTGCGCTCTTCCCGGGCGAGGCAGATCAGTCCTCGGCTTCTGGATGGCCGCTCACAGTGGCTGCTGGCCACTCACGCTGGCTGCTGGCTACACACGGTAGCCCATGGCAACCCGCTGCAGCAGGGGCTGCAGCCTACACCTTCGCTGGGGACTCACGGCAGCCCAGCTTCAGGTCGAGCTGTTGTTCAGCATCTTAGCTGTAGAGGGCAGTGTCACTGGCCCTCATATGTGGGATCCGAACCGGGACCCTCTGGCGTCCCAAGGCAGTTCTTAACCAACGCGCCACTCGGCCGGCCCCTCTACAACATTTTTTGATTAAGCAGGAAACAATATATATAGCTATCATCTGTATTTAAGAAATCTTTATATACAAACTACAATTTTTTGAGTCAGCCAATATTTAACGAGGGCCTACTATATGCCAGGCCCTGGTGAAGCAAAGACTTGAAGGAAGTGAAAGAATTGGAGACTGTCCCTAGGCAGGGAAAGCACTGATACTCAGCAAGTACATTACAGGAAGGCTGTTCCAATTACTTATAGCTGACCTCCATCTTGAATAGTCAATGGCCTTGCTCAACAGTCTGAAATATGTTTAATGCCCCTGGAGGAATAGCCAGCGTAAAGACCTGAGATGGGAGCATGCCTGGTATGTTCAAGGAAGAGCAAGAGAGCCAGTGTAGCTGTTGTGAGTGCATGAAGGAAGAAAGGAAGGGGTATTCGGAATTAGGAATGAGTCCAGAGAGGTAATAAGGTGATGGGGCCTTGTAGATCACTGTATGGACTTTGACATTTACTTCCAATAAAATGGGGGTAGTTGGAGGTTTTGAGCAGAGGAATGGCATGATCTGGCTTCTGTTAATGCAGGATCTGGGACTGTGTTAAGATGCAGCTATAGGGGAACAAAAGTAGAAGCCAGGAGGCCATGACATTACTGCAGGCAAGAAACTGGAGATAGAAGTGAAGGTTGTGAGCAATCATATTCTACAGATTTTGTTTTGAGAAAGAGCAAGAAGGCATTCAGACAGATCGAACAATAATAATAGATATGTTTAAACACTTACAGTCTAAATTGTACTTGCTGATAAGATAAAAGGCATATGTAAAATTTCATAAATATTTATATTAAGTTCAGTACGCTAGGAGCTTTGCAGTTTTCAAATACCATACATTTAATGGTATTTGTTTGTTTACTTATTTTCTTTTTAAGTTAAATTTATTGAGGTGGCAATGGTCATAAAATTACATAGGTTTCAAGTGTAAAATTCTATAATACAGCATCTATTATATATATGTGCTCACCACCCAGAGTCAGTTCTCCTTCCATTACCATATATTTGATCCCGTTTACCCTCTTCCACCACCCCCCTCCCCACTTACCCTCTGGTAACCACTAAACTGTTGTCAGTATCTATGAGTTTTTGTTTTTTATTTGTCTCGTTCCTTTGTTGCTTTTAGTTTTATATCCCACATATCAGTGAAATCATATGGTTCTTGACTTTTTCTGTCTGACTTATTGTGCTTAGCATAATCTCAAGATCCATCCATGTTGTCTCAAAGGGCATTATTTCATCTTTTCTTATGGCAGATTATTCTACTGTGTATATATACCACATCATCTTTATCCAATCATCTATTGAAGGACACTTTGGTTTCCATGTCTTGGCCACTGTAAATAATGCTGCAGTGGGCATTAGAGCACATATATCTTTCCCGATAAATGTTTTCAGATTTTTTGGGTAGATACCCAGGAGCGGGATTGCTGGGTCATATGGTAATTCTATTCTTAATTCTTTGAGGAACCTCCATAGTGTTTTCCATAGTGGCTGTACCATTATATTCCCACCAACAGTGTATGAGGGTTCCTTTTTCTCCACAGCCTCTCCAACACTTGTTATTATTTGTCTTGTTGATGATAGCCATTCTAACAGTTGTGAGGTGATATCTCATTGTGGTTTTGCTTTGCATTTTCCTAATAGCTAGTGAAGTTGAGCATTTTTTCATATATCTGTTGGAAGTTTGTATGTCTTCTTTGGACAAGTTTCTGTTCATGTCCTCTGTCCCTTTTTTAATTGGATTGTTTGTCTTTCTGTTGTTTAGTTGTATGAGTTCCTTTTATATTTTGGGTATTAGCCCCTTATCGGAGGCATTATTTGCAAATATCTTCTCCCATTTGATTGGTTGCCTCTTTGTTTTCTTGATGGTTTCTTTTGCTGTGCAGAAGCTCTTTAGTTTGATAGAGTCCCATTCATTTATTTTAGCTTTTACTTCCCTTGCCTTTGAAGTCAAATTCATCAAATCCATTTGAACCCAAGGTCCATAAGTTTAGTACCTATGCTTTCTTCTATGCAGTTTATTGTTTCAGGTCTTATGTTTAGGTTTTTGATCCATTTTGAGTTAATTTTGGTAAATGGTGACAGATAGCAGTCTAGTTTCATTCTTTTGCATGTCGCTTTCCAATTTTCCCAGCACCATTTATTGAAGAGGCTTTCTTTTCTCCATTGTATGTTTTTGGCTTCTCCTAAGTACCATGTTTTGAGAGGAAAAAAGTCTGGCTTGTTATATGCTAATACCCTCAAAACTAACAGCCTCTACATGGATATGCCTTTATTAAACAACACATAGATTTTCCCAATAGAAATTTCCTGCAATTGATTTCATTATATGTACATATATAGGCAGTTGCCTTTGCTATTCTTACTCGTGCATCCTAGCTGATCTAGCTAATCTTTTCTAAGAGAAAAAGAGAGACAAAAGAAAATATTTTCTGTTAAATAGACATAAGACAACACTACTTTCAGAAGGACATTTGCTCTTTCATGAAGGGAAGAAGTATATAAAGTGAGATGATGATGAAGGTAACAACTTCTCAATTTCTCCCATTCCTCAGCATCTCTTTGTTTCAATGTTTTCTGCTTTAGCATGTGAGAAGTAGGTTTTTTAAATGGAAAACTCTTAGAACATGAAAGTCTCTAACCTGTCCTCTGCTGTGATGTAACTTGTCAATTTTAGGTTTCACATCCTGAATCTCCAGGGTATGTGTTATATGTTAATGACCGTGCTATATTAATTGGCCCATTACTGCTCAGCATTACTGATACTCCCAGGATGCCAGTTGGAAAATGTGTTGTCATCGTAATTGCCACTAAGGAAGTTGGTCTTGGTACGCTGGAGGACTCCATGTGTGAACAACATTTTGAAGAGATGTTGAAAATTGACCTAAAATAGTTTATCTCTTTGACCTCTGTCACAGTCTTGTGATAAACCTTAGTAGTCTAGTGCAATTATTTGGGAAGTATATTCTTCCTGCTACAAGGAGTAAGTGTTAGGAAATAATCAAAGACCAAAAGCAGTTTATATTGGATCTGCATTGATTAGCATGCTAAGCCAGTGAGAGCCACATCTCTGGAGTGAGTTCATCAAAGTTTCCCTCAGTGTCTAAGGTATGGACAAAAGGTAGGGCAACAAGGAGGGAATTCCTTCCTGTAGGACTTTGAAAGGCATTTTTTGATTGTTTGTGGAAGGGGGAATTGAAAGTCTTTTAGGTTTGATCATTATCACACTGTGGTGTCATTTGCATGGACATTGTAACTCAGCCCAGTTCTCAAAAGTTTCAAAATTAGTTTTTTAATGCGCAAGTAGTTTTGGAGTGGTACAGTAGTCAAGCCCCTATGGGCCCAGGCAAAGTTAGGACAGAGTTGTCCTGTATTGTATGTTACAATGAAAGCATGTCTCAGATTGAATTCTTCCACATGCATAAGAATTTATTAGCAAGCAAGCACCCAGTAAATCACTAGTCGTGTAAACTGGGGAAGGTCCCATTCTTTATCCTTTTATGAACTTTCATGCAAGGTGCATGAAATTCATTCCAATAACGATGTAACCAACCATGTTCTGATCACCCAGCCTGCTAAATGGAAAAAGTGGAGTGGTCTTTTAAATGGGGGTAGAGGAGCCAAAGGGTGGTTAAGGATAGAGGGTGTTGCGAGTGGGGACAAACAGGACCAGGGTTCTAAGCCTGAGTACTACTCAGGATATTAAGCTTCCTGGGTTCTTATACATAGTTCATGTAGGATTAGAGGTACCTGTATCATCGTTCTTGCTAACCATATATTAGAACACTCATGAATTTTGTGAATTAAAAATTATTTCAGATGTCTTTTGTGCTAATTAACAAAAGTCTTGGTAAAGATTTTAGAGAGTAATTATTGATAGTAAATTTTAGAGAATCTGGACTCCTGATGAGGGACCTCGAAATTCCAACTAACTCCTCCTAAAGAGTGTACACATAAACATGGTTATACTGAAGTATATTTCTGTGGAACGATTTTAAAGTAAATCACTGTCAGTATAATGTGGTTTTTTTTTTCATTTTTATTTTATGAGAAGGAACATGGTTTTGAAAATTCTGTGGATTTGTCTGCCTTTGAAAGCACCTCAGAGGACCTCACAAGGAGTCATCGCAGAAACACTTCCGGCACACCTTCCATAGCAGTATCTGGGGCCTCTTTCTCCTCAGGTGGGTATTTACAGCGTGACTGCTCTGTTGTACAAAAGTCTAAATCAGGTAGAACTACACTTTTGTGTGTCATTACATGGACGTTTCATGCCTTAGATAAAAATCATCCATTCTTTGACCCATGGTAGTAGGCCCACTCCATAAGAGCTGCTTAAAGGTGGTCCCAGGTGGTGTGTTCAGCCTCCTGCATGCATGCAAAATCCATACATTCAGTGTATACTCTTGCCAGGCATCACTGCCAAGTTTAAGAGCAATATCAAATGTCAGTATAGGAGTGTAAAATATAATTGGCTCCTTTGATATGCAAGATAAGGACCCTTGCCCAGAGTTCAAAGAAATGGTATTTCAATTGATATGGTAGTCAGAAATGCCGTCTATCTGGACAGGTTAATAATTTCCTGGTTTAAGTAAAGACTTATTTGCAAGCAGCATTAAGGTATTAATAATAACCCCTTTCATTTGTATGGTACATTCAAATATATCATTTCACTTCACAACAACAATCCTCTGAAGCAGGTATTATTTATGTTGCAATTTTATTACCTATGAATAAGGACACTCTTTAGACGTATTTGTCATAATGATGAAGTTTATATCCCATGTGTAGAATTAAAATCATGACACAAACCTCAACAAAAAAGTTACTTGTTACCTAGTGATGATATTTGCATAAAGCGTAACGCTGGATTCTGTGCGCTGAGTTGGGGAGTCTCTCCTAGCCAGGTAGCTCCCAAAGGGTTTTCTAACTGTGTGTGGTTATCATTGCATTTTGTTCTGGACTAGAAAATTGGTTCACCTGTGAAATGCAAAAAAAAATTTTTTTTTAGCTAAGCCATCCTGCCACCTGTTGGCAGCTCAGTGGCTGCTCAGCTCGGTCCAGGACTCGAACCGCTGTTGCTCAGAGCTCAAACGCTTGTGAAATGCAAAGTTTTAAACTAGCCTACAAGCCAACCTCCTAATGTGTATTTCTACTGCTTCTATGGAACAGCTCCTGTTTATTGAGTACTCTGTGTCAGGCACTATACTAAGCACTTCTGCGTCATTTCATTTACAATTTCAAACTTAAGTACTGGATTGCTCTCTTAAATCTTTCTCGTTTATAAACAACTATAAGGGGCTGGCCAAGTGGCTAAGTTGGTTAAGAGCTCACTCAAGAGTGCGAGCTCTGAGCAAAAACGGTTCGATTCCCGGCCCGAGCTGAGCTGCTGCTGAGCTGCCAACAGGTGGCAGGATGGTTCAGCTAAAAAAGTTTTAAATATATATATATATATATATGCAACTATATTTATCTCAGCAGGACTTTGACATAGAACTGTTCAGTGGAAATAAACTGTCTGTGTCTTAGGAAGCTGTCCGCAGGATTACTGAGTAGTGCATTGTTTTTTAACTTATATTTTCAAAAGCAAGATGTTCTCTTGATGAAAGAATGTTCTAGTGCCTAAAGAAATGGAACTTCTTCCTAATTTACCTCTAGCCACTCACTTTTGTGTGAATTCCCTAAATTTTTAAATCAAGAATAGTTATTGTTATATTTTCTTCTAAGCTTAAGAGCTCATTCTATGAGTTTTTCAATGTCTGAGCAAAACAGAAGACTTAAATAGCTTAAAAATTAACATTTTATAGTAGAGCATTTATTCTTCTATGATCAAAGGAGAAATGACACATCAATGTTGGTAATTCAGTCCAAGGAAATTTCAAAATACTATTAAAAAATGAAAGTATGTTAGCATAAACAGCATTAGGTTACTGACTTGGACTGTTGTTTTCATGACAGTATTTATGCCCCATGCCTGGAAAGAATTGAAATAGAGATGAAACATTTGCAGTAAAAAATGAAACCTTCTAGCAAAATAAGCTGATTCATATCTTTTTTTTTTCTCTTCCTTCCTCCAGACCGGAGTCAATCTGAGTTAGATTTGAGTGGATCATTTACAGAAGACTTAGAGGATACAGTAAACGTAAGAAGCAAGTCTGTCCCTGGAGTTTTAGACAAAGACTTGGTAAGTTGGATGTGGAAGAAAGTCTAATGATCATGAGGAAAGGGCACCATCTTGTTCCAAACCTGTCCACTTTTAGGTGAGAATGAGTTGAGACTAGAGTGAGGCTATAAGATGAGCTCTTCCTATGAGTCTTCACAACCAACATGTAAAGACAACTAAGGAATGATTTAGAAAAGGTAAAAGGTAATCATGGTAATGAGAGAAGATTATCCCTAAGAAAACACCTGTTGGGAATTTCAATTCCTGGCTAAAAGCACATCACTTCACCTAAACCTGGAAAATAAGGGATCTCAGCATTTCCTAAACCAAATATTATTAGACTTATCTGAATATATATATTAATTTTATTGGGGAACAGCCATGGTCATTGGTTACACATTGCTTTCATGCTACAATGGTATAGTTGACTCTTTTAGGGAGGGCACAGCTCACAGTGGCTCATGCGGGGATCGAATTGGCAACCTTGGTGTTATCAGCACCACGCTCTAACCAACTGAGCTAACCAGTCACCCCCTGACTATGTATTTTATATGAACCTTTCTATATCTCAAGTTATGCCTATAAAACTAACTTCTTAATTGAGACTAATTATGTGAAAATTAATATTTAAGGGAACTCATTTATAAAAGGAGAAAGCGGAATTAGATTATTTTAATGTTCCTTCCAGTTCTAATATTCTGATATTTTGATTTCTATAATTGCTATAATGCAATTTGAATTCTTTAGAAGAAAGATATAAAACAAATGTTAAATGATATTAATATAATATTTCCAAAGCAAGCCAGGAAACTCAAGAGTTCTAAAACTCAATGTTACTTACTATAGTATAAAATAACTGGGAAAGTATTTTAAAATCCACCACAAAGTGAAGGCATGCAATAAAATCAAATAGTTTCAAGGGTGACTTATGTTCAACCTTTAAAGAACAGCTAATTCCAAAGTTATGAAACCTATTCCTGATCTTAGAAAACTCTGAAGATCTTCAGATTCATACTTTGAAACTATTATAACCTTAATAGTCAAACTTGATTTTAAAAGCAGTTTCAAAAATACTAATTTAAAAATAATCAAAACTATTAAAACATGATTTCAAAAATACTAAATGTCAAAAACCCCCATAATGTATAGCCTTTTAAATGTTGAAATGGTAAAGCCATTTCCATTAAAATCAAGAACAAAACAGATTCCCACTATTAGTATATTAATCAAGATTGTTTTGAAGTTTCTGGCAATTACAATCCTAGAAGAAAATGAAATGATCTTTATAAATGTTCAATAAGATATGAAATTGTATATTTTTTCTAATATGCTTGAATAACAAAAAACTCTTATGTGATTTGAGTAAGAAAAGCTTGGAATTAGCAAGGGAATTTGGGAAGACCAGCAACTCAGCTAATGTGAGTTTATGGTCCTGGTTGGGCAAGCAATAGACTCACAAAGTAACCAGAAATTTATCGGGAACTCTGATCAATGAGAGTCATACAGGGCCTTGACAAGCTCTCCAGACATTCTTGTGGGGAGCAGTGGGGAGAGTGAAGACTGGAGTGAGCTCAAGCTATTGAGTCATCCCTGGCTAACTATGAGACTGAGCACATGTACAAATAAGACACGAGAAGGCCCAGTAGGAAGAGCTAGAGGAGACTTGAAAAACTGCCTGATTTTGAATGCGCTCTAAAAACAACACAGATTTCACTAATGGAAGAGGGTTGACGGCTCACTGGCTTGAGGTGTTTGAACAACCTCTAAACAATTACTAACTGATCACTAAACTATGCACATATAGGGGTGATCTCTCTAGGAAGTTGAGCTTAAAAATAAAAACAAGATTAAAAAAAATGAGCAGAGACATAAGCAGCCACCAACAGGGCAGGAAACAAATTCCATAGGTTGGTCCAGGCAAGTTACTAAATAAATAAACAAAAAACAAATAAAACAAGGAACAACAAGTAACCCTCAGTGGTAAAAATAATCAGAATCCAGAGCTACTACAATATATAAAGGAAAATGTTGGTGGTTTTTTTTTTAGATCAACAAAATTGATAAACCGTAAGCAAGCCATGATTTCTCAATCTCAGCATTATTGACATTTCTGGCTAAATAATTCAGTGTTGTGGGGGACTGCTCTGTGTACTGTAGGATGTTTGGAAAGATCCCTGGTTTTTACCCAGTAGCACTCCCCAAGTTGTGACAACCAAAAATATCTCCAGATATTACCAAATGTACTCTTAGGGAAAATAAATCACCCCTAGATGAAAGCCACTAAGCTAGAGGAGCCAAGAAAAAGTGAGAGGACACAAATTACCAAAATCAGGAATGAAAGAGGGGGCATCACTACCAACATAACAAATTTAAATGATTATAAGGTAATACCATGAACAACTGGACACCAACTGGGATTGGCAACTTATATGAAATGGACAAATTATGAGGAAGACACAAATTACTAAAATTGATTCAAAAAACAGAAATTCTGTGTAGATCTAGAATAAGTTAAAAGTACTGAATTAGTAATTAAAAGTCTTCCCCAATGAAAAGCCCAGGTATAGATGGCTTCACTGATGAAGTCCATCAAATATTTGAAAAAGAAATATCATTAATTCTTCACAAAGGAAATACTTCCCCACTCATTTTATGAGGCCAATATTACACTGATACCAAAGCTAGACAAAGACATTGCAAGAAAAGAAAACTAGAGACTAATACCCATCATGAATATACATGGAAAATACTTAATAAAATATTAGAAAATCAAGTCCAGTAACAAAAAAGGATTGAACATCATAGCCAAGTGGGATTTATCCTATGAATACAAAAGTTGATTTTGCATTGAAAAATAAATTAATGTACTACATCATATCAGTAGAATAAAAGAATAATCACATCATCTCAGTAGATGCAAAAAATCATTAGAGAAAATCCAACATCCATTCATAATAAAACCCTCAATAAACTAGGAATAGAGGGAACTTCCTCAGTAGAATAAAGGGCATCTTCAAAATTCCTCCAGCTAATTACCATACTTAAAGGCAAAAAGGACCAAATGCTTTCCCCCTAAGTGCAAGAACAAGGTGAGGATTTTCACTTTCACTGCTTCTATTCAATATTATACAGGATTGTCTAGCCCAGGGGTCTGCAAACTGCGGCTCGCAAGCCACCTGCGGCTCTTTGGGTACATACACGTGGCTCTGAAGTAAAATTGAAAATGAAAATAAAACTATCATGGTTTTATTCATAAAAAAATTAAGGGATATTATTCACATAATGGTGATTTCATTTGTTTTATGGCTCTAGAATAATTTTTAAATTGTTGTGAGGGACAGGATTGGCTCTTCTATCTCAAAAGTTTGCCGACCCCTGGTCTAGCCAATATAGTAGGAAACGAGAAGGAAAAGGAGGGAATGAAGGAAGGAAGGGAGGGAGGGGGAAAAAGAAACAGAAAAAAAGGAAAAGAAGGCATCTCATTGGGCAGAAAGAAGTATTAACTTCTTTACTTGCAAATGACATGGTTCTATATGTGGAAGAACCTAAAGAATCAATAAATATATTACTAGAACTAATAAACAAGTCCATCAAGGTTGAAGGATATAAGATCAAATATAAAATACAATTGTATTTCTTTATAGTAGCAATGAATAATCTGAAAATGAAATGAAGACTATAATTTCATTAACAATAGCATGAAAAATACTTAATAAATTCATCAAAAATATGACGATCATGTATATTGGAATTTAGAAAAATATTGCTGAGTTAAATTAAAGAAGATCTAAATTTATGGAGACATTCTATGTTCATTGATTAGAAGATTCAAAAATTTTAAGACATTCTCTCCAAATGAATCTATAAATATCAACCCTATTAAACCTAAGCAGGCTAGTTTATAGAAATGGATATGCTAATTCTAAAATTTATGTGGAAATGAAAAGGATCCAGAATAACAAAATTAATTTTAAAAAACAAAGTTGGAAGACTTAATCTATTAGATTTTGAAATTTAGTATACAGCTATAGTATTAAGTACAGTGTACTATTGGTTTAAACATAGTCAATCAAAGGAATACAATAGAGAGTCCAGAAATAACCCTTACATTTATAATCTATTGATTGGGCAATGCAATGGAGAAAGGATATCTTTTCAACAAATCACAGATCAACAGTGGCAATTGGATATCCATAAGCCATAAAAGGGAGGGGGACTTTGATTCTACCATACACCATGCACAAAAACTAACTCAAAATTGGTTACATACCTAAATGTAAAAATGAAAACTATAAAATGCAAAAATGAAAACTATAAAATCTCTAAAAGAAAACCTAGGGGTTTGTGAATAGTGCTGCCAAGATATGGAAACAACCTAAGTGCCCATCAATAGATGACTGAATAAAGAAATTGTGGTATATTTATACAATGGAATATTACTCTGCCATAAAAAAGAATGAAATCTTACCATTTGCAACAACATGGATAGACCTAGAGGGTATTATGCTAAGTGAGATAAGTCAGACTGAAAAAGACAAATACCATATGCTCTCACTTATATGTGGAATCTAAAGAACAGAATAAACAAGCAAACAGAAATAGACTCATAGATACAGAGAACAAACTGATGGTTGCTAGATATGTGGGCGGTTAGGGGAATGAGTGAGAAAGGTGAAGGGATTAGGAAGTACAAATTGGTAGTCACAAAATAGTCATGAGGATATAAAATACAGTAGG